GAGTATAAGCAATATCATAGCTGACAATATTTATTATAACAGCTACTTTAACGAACGTTGAGAATACAGATATAATACTATACTATAAAATAGATAATACCGTTTTCCAGGAAATGCGAGGGCGTTGTAAAAAGTATTCTATGTAATAGTAATTATTTTTGTAATTGATAACATCGTCTAGGTGTAAATGAATGCGCTTCTAACCCTTGTTCAGCCAATGCAACATGTATTGATCAACATACTAGTTATGTATGTTTATGTCCAGATGGATACTATGGATCGAACTGTCAAGAAGGTTGCTATTAGGATATAATAGCGCTAGCAGTAAATTCTAATTCTACTATTAGATATTTTAATTTAATTATAAGTGATTACGAGTTCGAAAACACCCATTCTTATATGATTTTGTATAACAATTTTTAACGTTAATACAACGTAATAGGACCAATTGCTGATGGTAGCGTTAGATTAGTGGCTCAGTATAACGCTGCTGGACCGAATGAAGGCAATGTCGAAATCTATCATAACGGAACCTGGGGCTCGATATGTCACCGTTCCTTTGATATAAACGATGCACAAGTTGTATGTCGTCAGTTAGGTTATCCTAACGCCTCGCACTCTTACTGTTGCTCGTACTATGGAAATAACAAGTATTACACGTTAATGTGGTTAAGCAATCTATATTGTAGAGGAAATGAAAGTAGAGTTTCAGATTGCTCTCGCGGCTCTGGATGGGGAAGTATCAGTAATGGATGTTCTAGATACGATGTGGCAGGTGTAAGATGTACTGGTAAGTTATATTACATATTTATATAGGTAAAGAGTTCATTCTTGTAGAATATTGTACTATCTACGTTCTGTAGATATTAGACGTCATTGTTAAATTTGGTAGTTAGATACTAGAGATTGTTTAAGTAATGATAAAATTACAATAGTTACTTGTATTGTAGCTACAAAGTACGACAGTACTACAGAAATACACAGTAGTTTAACTGTCAGAAATTCTATCAAATTCAAAGATTCCATTAGCATTATTATGGTATTTACTATATTACTAAGTTCCGTCAGATATTAAACGCCTGTTATATACAAGTATAGAGTTTTTAGTATTACTAAGACACTAACGAACAGTATTTTTAATTTACATGATAATGTAGATATTCTATATAACTACACAATGTACAAGAATTGTTTGTGTATCATGTTTAATAGACTCTAATTACCATTTTACTTGAAATAGACTTTAATCAATGCGCATCTAATCCTTGTGTTAACGGAACATGTTACGATCAACCCGGTGCATATAACTGTTCTTGTTCGCCGGGCTATGTGGGAACAAACTGTAATATCCGTAAGTATGGTTCTACATGTACTGTACTAAATTGTTTTATTATTAAAATTAATGTACTATAACATAAATACTACTAGCACACGAATTTATTAAATAATATGTAATAAGTAACTTTCAATATTATATTTTATAAACAAATATATCAAAACATCTAAAATTAGGAAGCGATTGTTACTCAAATCCATGCTTAAATGGTGGTACCTGCATGGTAGGCTCTTCAGGAATCGGTTATAACTGCTCTTGTATAAATGGATACACCGGGAATGAATGTCAATCAGGTAGACGACGTACAGCAGAATAATAATATTAATGTACGAATAGTGGATTAATATCGTCTATTATAGAGTATAGACAATATTTTTACTATATAATACAACACATATGCGTAACTGTATGATTACTTCATACTGAAATTACAATACGAGATCGTCAGTTTCTTACTTCAACATCGTATTATTCTATGCTTTATATAAACTATTATTCTGACGATTTTCCTTGAAAAATCTGCAATAATGTTAATTATAGATAATTATAGCAGTTGTATTGATTACATTATTATAAAAGATATTTTATGTGTATTATACACTTTAGTGTTATG